GAGGAAAACAGAAGACACTGAGAGCCAGCAACTGCCTTTGCTGAGAGGAAAGAGGGGTAGGAGGTTGTAGGGTGAGACTTTTTCCATTTTTATACTTTTTTAAAAAGCTCTTTAATTTAGTCAAGCAATAAACAATGATTGAGCGTGCATTAGCGTCAGGCACTGCACTGGGCACTGGAGAAACACTGGAGGCGGTAACTAGGGCATGGGCTGCACAGCCAGGTGGCCTGGGGTTGAATCTTGACTGCACACTTAGGAGCAGGGAGATCACAGCAAAATTCCTTACTGCCTGCTGCTTGTAAGATATGGGCTAACGGTTCTTATCTGATAGCATTGCTGTGAGAATTAAATGAGACAGTGCCAAGTATTTAGTACCTGTTCCTTAATTGTTAGCTCTAAAAAAAAAAGTGAGGTCCCCATCTGATAACACCCAGTATAGTGAGTACTGACCTGGAGAAGAGGAGTTGGTTCCTGGAAATAAGGGCCAGGTTGTTGGCTGAGCCATCCAGGCGTATGTGGGCAGCACCCAGCATGACAGCAGGGCTAGAGGGCCTTCTTGCCCAGAGGAGGGAGCAGTGGTGCACGTGTAACCTTCCCTTAAGGTGGCCCCAGGGCAGGGAGCTGTGCACAGCAAATGCTGAAGGAAAGCTGAAGACACTCTGGAAGCGTGGAGCAGAAGGAAGAGTCTGAGAAGTTAGCTGAGGAATGGGCTAATAGCCAGAGGCCAGGAAGCATTCCAGAGGAGCAGGGAGGGGCAGGGAGGCAACCGAAGAGCTTCAGGGGGAGGGGAGGGGATGCAGATCCATAATTGTTCAAAGGAATTGGTTGGAGCCCAATGTTTTGGCTGATTGATTATTTTTTTTTGGATTAATTACGTGGAACGTCTGTGGTATCCCCAGATGCTTCAGGCTTCCACACTCCTCAGGATTTATCCCTTTTGCTACACTTCCTGTGCCTAGTGTTGCAGTGGGAAGAGGGTCATGAGCCTTGGGGTCCGCTGCATGAGGCTGGGTTATCTCTGGGCCGTGCCCCTGCTTCTGAGACTCCCTGATTTGATTTTTGTCCCGCTTTGTACTTGCAGCTCACCCCAGTCTTCCCCGACCCCCAGGGGCTGAGCGGGTGACTGGCTGGGACAATTTGGCAACATCAATATTAAGGGCTTCCAAGGGAAAAGTATTGGAACAGGAGACGAATTCCAAATTGGTGGAAAGCTTACTGTTCTGGGAGAAAAGGGCTGCCTCAGTTTCTCATCAACACTCAGTAAGTAGAGCCCTTTGTTAAAGGAACAAATGAATGGTCCCTCTGAGTTCTGCTTCAGTCCCCTGTAAGTCACAGCCTTTGAGGTATAGATGGGAGGAGACAAAGGCTCTTCAGTTGGCCCCTCATTGATGACACTGCCAGCTCTAAAATGAGAACCAATAGAGTGGTCGGAAATTGGAAATAAATTACAGCAAGTAAGGAATGAACTAATGGGTCCAGGTCTGGTCATTTCAGCATATTTTCTTAAATAATCTATCCTTTCCTCACCAAAACAATAAATTCACTAATTCATCTTATATATTTGACCTATGTGGCAGTTAGTCTCACCTCATTATTCTAAACTGCTCTTCAACTACAATTCAAGTTATCTTGTATCTTTTCTCACGTCTTCTAGTTCCTGTTTCATCCCTATTTGCACCAGAGTTTACCTTTTATCTTAGTCCGATTTTTTGTTTCATAAAAGCCAAGCTTTCTTATGTCTCACTGAGAACAAAACAGATGTTTTCTAAAATTTTTTCCCATTACTCTAGTAAATTATTTTGAGTTGGGCTTTTCCTCCACATGTAAGTAATGCTTCTACTGTATTCTTTTTTGTTATAGAAAATTTTTCCAAGTCCCGTGTGTGTGTGTCCATGACTTTATACATCCTTGAGTGGGCTTATGTATATTTCATGTGGTATTTATTAGTAATTCTTTAATTCAATAGATACTATTTTTTAAAAAAAATTTGATGTTTGTTTATCCTATGGTGGGCAAGGTGTTTAAAAAACAAAATTACATAAAAGGATTTGTCTTTGCTCTGGCCCATGTGGTTCAGTTGGTTGGGGCGTTTTCCAACGGCACATACCTAGGTTGCAGGTTTAACCCCGGTCAGGATGTATGCGGCAGGCAACCGATCAATGTTTCTTGCTCACATTGATGTGTCTATTTCTCTCTCACTCACCCTCTCCTTTCCCCTCTCTCTAGAATCAATAAACATATTCCTGGGTGAATGTTTTTTAAAAAAATATATTTTATTGATTTTTTTACAGAGGGGAAGGGAGAAGGATAGAGAGTTAGAAACATCAATGGGAGAGAAACATCAATCAGCTGCCTCCTGTACGCCCCCTATTGGGGATGTACCCGCAACCAAGGTACATGCCCTTGACTGGTGTCGAACCTGGGACCCTTCAGTCCGCAGGCCGACGCTCTATCCACTGAGCCAAGCCTGTCAGGGCATGGGTGAATATTTTTTTAAAAAGAATTTGTCTTGAAAAAACCTCATGCAAGGTGGAAGACCAAGTAGGAGACATGAGCAGATTCCATTATTTCCACCTGTGGCTTTTTCATAGGTGATACAGGTACACATGATGCCGAGATAGGAGGCCTGACTCTGTGCACAGCTCAGTGTTCTTCTAAGTTGGCAGCCATTAGAAGTTAAGAGCACTGAGGATATTTCCAATTTATATTAACATTTGCTTCCTCTGGAAATGTGTAAAAATACTAGCAAACACTAATGTGCCAATGTTTCTATGATGCTATAAATTAATGAGTGTAATACATTTTACATTCTGTTACATAATTTATTTTAAGTGACAGCATTCCATTATACTGTAAATCACTCAGCTATTTCAAAAAAGAACAAAAATGTTATAAAATGTTAGTGAAAAAGAAAGATTTTTTTGCATAGAATAATATCCCAAATGTTTATTTTCCAGTGATGAAAATATTGAACAGTCCATCCTTATTTTATACCGGCCGAGATACATTAATCAATTGCCTTGATTATATCTTTCTGTGAAAAGACATTTTGACAAAATACTATGGGGAACTTGTTTTTTAAAATTTGTTTAATCTTTAAAATAGAGATTTTAAAACATTATTATCATTTTGACATTAAAAAACACAGGCTATGACCAAGAATAGTTTTAATCTTGCCTAATTAAGATATGATTGAAAATAGAAAAGTAACTTCTAGATATCCCAGACAGACGCTGTAATAGCGGCAAAGAGCCACTAGGTGGCTCTGTCATTTTTAAATAAAACTGAAGACCGAAAAAGATAATGTATAGTTAAGGAACAAATACTGTACAGTATCTCTAGTAGGCAAAACCTTTAATCAAAGCAAGAAACAAAAATCTGCAATTATGGCCTCTTAGAATAATTTGGAGCTATTCAATTGAGAATTAGACTTAAAAATAACCCTACAAAACTGCCAAGTGTGTATGGGTAAGCAATTTGCTAAAAAAATAAGGGAAGGTATATTCTTAAGGACACTAATTACTAAAGGGAAGGTTGTTCCAAATTTTTCCTAATTTATTGCCATCTAGGTTCCCAGCTTTTGTAGTTGTTGTTGTTAATCCTCACCTGAGGACATTTTTTCTATTGATTTTCAGAGAGCGTGGAAGGTAAAGGGAGAGACAGAGAGAGGGAAACATCTGTGTGTCTCATAGATTGGCAAGTGTGCCACCAAGGTATGTGTCCTTGACTGGAATTGAACCCAAGGACCTTTAGTCCGCAGGCTGACATTCTAGCCACTGAGCCAAACTGGCCAGGGTCCCAGCTTTTCTTTTGGACTTTCTGTATTTAGTTTAGACTGTTACCTTCAAGAAAAAATAAAAGTTAAACTTGGGCATTATATCTCATTAAAAATTACTTTCCAATTTCCTGGACTATCCTTGTCATCCTTATTAACACCCCAAGAGAATAATAGAACAAAACAACTTCATTTAGGGCTATATGGGGGGGGGGGAGCCCATGCTTATCTAACTTAAGAAACATTTAGACTGTTAAACCAAAATACAATGAAGGCAATCACTATTCCACTCTATAGCATTTGTCAGGAGATGGAAAGAAATAGTGTGCTTTAAGAGTTGGCAAATAATTCCTTTCTGGTTCCAGAAAAGATGGGAAAATAGTTACATTGGAAGTGTGATTTGGGTCTCAGGTACCAAAATTTGCTAGTTAAGTAGTTCTAGATTTCATTTGCCCCCCTGAAGTTATCTGCAAAAGACGATCATTTTTCCCCAAGTACATAACTAATTTTCTCATGAAAATAAGTGCAAGCTGGGAGGTGTGTGGGTTCAGGATTAAGTACTCTGAGCTGCCAGTCTGCAACTGGCAAGTAGGGGAAAAAGGTTTCCTCTCCCCTCTTTCTTAAATGAGAATCTCAGACCTGTCTGAGATTAAGAACATATTTAGGGAGAGTTTTAATTTGTAAAAAACCCCCCAACAATTTTCTTATTGTTGCTGGGAGCCAATAAATAATGATTTCGTGGCATGTGGTGTGGCTACAGGATTATACTGGTTTTGTTTGTTTTCCCAGGCAGGAACCGCATTTGAGAATTTACAGAAGTAGTTTGTAAAAGTACATTTTTACAAAAGTAACACGTAATTTGTGACCTCCTACCCCCTCCTTCTCCCCTTCTCCCTCCTCCTCCTCCCCTTCCTTCTTTTCTTCTTTTTAAAGAGCGCTTCTTGCACACAGTATAAATTAAACTTGGCTTTAAAATGCTAATTCCGAACCCACTTATTTAAATGTCTTTGAAACATTCACCCTTCTGCTTTTGAAGACAACTAATCACACGGAAGGAATGCACACAGCAGACATAAAAATGAACAAATACGGCCCGAATGTGAACGAACAAATAGTTATATGTTTAGAGAAATTAAATACCGATTTCAGTCCCTCTGATCAGAGGATGCCTGTTAATATGAACTACTCTGTACTGTATCCCAAAGAGTTGTAAATCACATCCATTATGCTCAGCCGGTAGCGGATCAGTTGAGACCAGACCTGAATCCTGCACCTCAATCACAAAAAGTGCAGGGGCTGGAGGTGGAAAAACCACAGGGAATTAGGCAGGTGGCTGAGCGGCCATCCAAAGTTAACGCACAGACTTAAGAGAAATATTTGTGCTCTTGGTTATCATCTCTTTGTTTTCATATTCGTTATTTTATTTCATGATTGTGCTAAGAATATATTAGCTAGGAAGGGGTCCTCTTCGTCTTACACCTAGAGTCGCCAGTCTTCCCCGGCCTCCCCGGCTCCGGGCTCCGGGCCCAGAGAGGAGGGGCTGCAAGGGCGGGGC